TGTGTGTGTGTGTGTGTGTGTGTGTGTGTGTGTGTGTGTGTGTGTTCTCCCTGCTGGCTATTCATCTATTCTAGGCCACCGCCTCACTCCGCTGTTATTTGCATATGATTAAAGCAGTTTCATCGGAATATAAAAAAAAGAAAGAAATCAGAATAATGTTGCTATTATCGGTCCATTAAGACTTGAACCCGGAACCGACCCGAGAAGATTACCTCGAAAAAGCATCGCCATAAACTTGACCTGTTTCATGTCGATTTTAATTTAGAACCCTTCTCACCCCCCCCCCCATTCTCCTTTTCTCGCTTTTTGAACCCCCGACATGTGTGCGCGCGCGTGCGTGTGTAGGTGTGTGTTGTTGTTGGGGAGCAGAGAGGGGGCTGCACAATGGGCTGCAGAAGATGCGTCGGTTTCTCCACCGTAGAGTTCACGGTTCATTACGCGTCTTGTCAGTATTTCTCCTYAGACATGAGCGCACATTGCTTATCGGGACTCCCCCTTCCTCTCCTCCTCTTCTTCTTTTTTAACATATATAAATATATAGTTTTATTTGTTTATTTATTTTTTTGCTTCGAGCGCACAGATTCATCTCCAAACAGGACGACTGGTTCTCCAGAAGCAGCGGTTCTTAAAGGTAGATTAGGAAGTGTTTCCCTTTGTGCAGATATCACAGATAACCGCAGCCTTCATTATGTGCTCCACTGACTGTTGGCACTCCGGGGACGTCGCATGCGCACCCGCGTGACCCGCGTAAATGGTCCGCGCGCGCACTGCCGTTAAATAATGATAATAGTAACCGATGATTAGAATTATGCAAATCTAGAGGTTTTTTTTTTTTTGGACATTAATAGATAAACAGAATACAGATAAGTTCAGTTTTAAAGGGCCTCAGAAGTTTATAACCCGTGGTTTGCATAAGGAGAGAGGGTGAAAAAAGAAATTGAAGTGTCCAAATTAAAGGGATTAGCTGGATAGTCCGACATAAAAAGTAATGGAGCGATTAGGCTAAATAATTTAAATCCACGGCCTTCCATATGGTTGAGTGGTTGGTCTGAGAGCGCGAGGAAGCCAGCGGCTTTTATGTTCTGGGCTGCTGAATGGCAGGACAGGGAGAGGAGCTGGGCCCGACTGAGAAGAGCCCCCCCTATCCCCCCAGCAGACACACACACACACACACACACCCCTACCCAGTCTTCCCAGCCCTTCTGTCTGATTATGGAAATGAGAAAGATCACGCGGAAGATAATACTTCATTTAATCCAGGAACATAATTAAATAACACAGACGCCACTTGTGCATTTAAGTGTCTCTTTGAACTGTGTTGTACTCTCTCAGGGATTCAGTTTTCAAAAAGTATTTTTTTTCTAATATTATTATTATTATT